TGTAGCTGGTGTTGACAGGCCAGAGTGGGCCCTCTCTCCGGTGGGGGAGGGGACACGCCTCTTCTGCACCTGGTAGGACTCTGATCTGGACTGGGGTTTGCAAGCATCCCCTGTAAGGTTGACTTTTGGCTTTTCATTTGATTTAGGTGGAAGAAGACTACCTGTTTGAAAAAGCAGAAATCAACTTTTGGGCTGAGACCCTGATCTTTGTGAAATACCTCTACAAGAACCTCTACCATCTCCTCTCCAAGTCCAGCTGGCATCCCCTGAGCCCTGAGAGGCTCTGTCATCTTCAAAGGACAGCGTCAGAGCAGTGCCACCTCCTTTCCCAGCTCTTCAAAGAGCTGCCACCACCTGCTGCGTTCCTGAAGACAGTGGAGTTCACAAGACTGCGCATTCAGGAGGAAAGGACCTTGGCTTGCCTGAGGCTGCTGGCCTTTTTGGAAGGAAAGGAAGGGGAAGACACCCTAGTTCTCAGTGCTGCTGACTCTCCAGCAAAAGCAAATCAGTTAACTCTTCCAGGAACAGAAATGGCTTGTTGAAGAAAGAAGACTTGCTGGAGGGTGAGGGGGGCGGGGTGGGGTGAGGGTGGATTAGTCCCCACTAAACCTGCAGGAAATATGTTGAACATAAATTCACTTTTTTTTTGCCTTTCATACCTCCCTGACTTCTGTGAGTCCAGTCTTTCTACAGAGGAGTTTTTCATCAGTTCACTCATTCAAGGCAGCCTGGTTTATTGCAGCTACTGTAGGAAGTGAGGCTACCTCGTTGAATATTTGCTCTGTTCCCAGGTGCAGGCCACCTGTGGGCCTGAATTAGTCTTTTTCATCCCCCCCAGGACCTCTAATGTCCAGCCATAGCCAGCCTGCATTTTCTGTGAATTGACTGCTTAGAATTTGGTTTTGACACATGATTCCCACCCCACCCCCCTTTTTTTTTTTTTTTGGCTGGATGTAGGAGCTGGATTCGTTGGCAAACGGCCCATTTGGTCAGAATTCTAAACTTTATTCCATTTTAGCTAAAGCAGAAATATGTTCCAAATGTTGGATGGATCCTGAGAGTATTAAGGATCAACTTCATACAAATAGGGGTTTTCTTTATTGCCTGCATGTGTGAGTCCTGAGTGACCTACACATGCCATTCTAATTATTAAAAGAGCCATTGAGAGCTCCTACCCCAGAAAAAGGTGTTTGTGCTAATGCTAGGATACCTGATTTAGCTGCCCAGTGAAAGCATAGCCTCTTGGCTGTTAGAAGGAACCTGGGGAAAGGAGAGCCAGAATAAATGGTGTATTTGATGCCTACACTGTTTACTATCATTTTCTTAGTGACAATAACAAAGGGTTTCTTATTTAGGAGCCAGAAAATACATTGATCCATTTCAGTGATTGAATCTAGCAAGCCTAAGGGTTTTCTTCCTCAGACTCCCAGCAGGTGTCACTCTTGCATACATTTTGCTGCTGGTCCTGTTTTTCATTGACTTGCCATTTTTAATTTGTTATCTCAGAGTAAGTGTAACCCTCAGGCAGTTATCTTGAAATTCGTAGCTTGGATGGGTCATAGCCTCATCCACATTCATTTTTCATCCTAGTTATCTGAAAAAGCCATTTCAGCAATCGTATATAAACCTGGCCCAGCTTTTAGGATCTGTAAATATTTTAAAATACTTTTCAGGTGAGCAGTCTCTTAGAATTATATTATTGATGTTTGAGGGTCTGAAGAGGCAGTTTAGAGAAGAGAGAGTTTGATATGGTCATTTCCTACTGCAGAAAGGCTTTTATTTCAGGTATAATTTGTCTCTCTCTGAAAGAAAACCACCTAACACTAAAAATACAGCCACACTAGAAGTATAAAGAAATGGCTCTTTAGGGAGGGAGAAAAGTTGACTTAGTGTCCAAAGTTTTGTCTTAACGAGAATAGGAGATTCCTTTGCTGGTTTTGCACCATTCAGCTCAAAATGTGGTGTGTGTTTTTTTGTGATCCTAAATTAATTTCCTGGTTAGGCATCTGTGTGACTCACGCACACTTGATGGGAGGTTGCCAACCTAATATTTCTTTTGTTCTGAGAAGGCCTGGCTGGTGAGAAGTCAGGGAATTGTTGGCATGATGTGCTGATAACCATGGTAGAATATTATGAAACTGGCCCCAGCAAAGTCCAGCATTCCCTTTTTTTCTCCATTTAAAATGAAATACAAGCAGTTGCATAATAATAAAAATGTTTTACACCAGCAGGGACTCTGTACCAAAGCATGAACTATAGCATGTTTATATGTTATCTACAGAATCCTTCTACCAAGCCTGCAAAGTGGGTGTTTACATAGCTGTTGACTAGGCAGAATTACCCTAGGGTTTGATCTTGGCTGGTTGTGGACAGCCTGGAAGGACAGGAGGGACAGATGTGTCACTGGTTTTGTATCTGAAATCCTGTTGCTCATCTCCAATAGCAGTGGCTAGGGAAAGGCTATCCTACACTTTCCTGATTCCCAGGGAAACTGTAGAATACCCTACTGTCAGGGCCACCCTCAAATTATTGTCTTTGGGGTCATTTCAACCAAGAACAAAACAGAACAGCCAGGGTTCTAGGAGTGTCAGCCGCAGTACTACTTTGTGATGTGATTAGCAAAGCCAGCTCTTTCTAGGGGCCAGGGAAGGCTGGGTCAGTCATAAGAATGAAACAGTCACCCAAAGACAATAGGGGGACATATATAATACTTTAAACAATAAAGATTATCTATATATATATAAAATGCTAATATGCAAAGAGTCCCCTCGGGAGTTCAATCGCTCACTATGACGTGTGCTGACCACCAGGGGGCGGCATGGAATGAAGGAAGGCCCTGGCAGGCAGCTGAGGAAGGGAGACCCCAGTTGGCAGCTGGAAGGCCCCAATCAGTCCTGATCGCCTGCCAGGCCTAGGGACCCTACCCATGCACAAATTTCGTGCACCGGGCCTCTAATATATATGTAAAACAGAATGAAGCAGTCACCTGTTCTGAGGGCACTATCCTCGAGTCTAAGATTTGGTGCCCCTATTTCTGCATGCATGATTCTGTGGACCTCTAGCCATCTGGCCATAGTCCAGGGGCCTGGCTTCCTCTGTTTTTTTATGTTATGTAAATTTGCTTTTAATAATAGGATGGATTTTACTTATCTTTTAAACACCTTTAACAACTCATTTGCACCTTGACAAAGGTGAGAAATGAGTAAAGCAGGAATTCTCTTAGTTTCACCAGAAAACTCAAGTACCAAAGAGTCCTTGGTATACAAAAATCATGTGACTTGCCTAAAACCACATGGCTTGGAAGGGGCAGGGTCTGAACTTCAAGCCCTAAGTTTCTGATCCTAAAGTTTTTGCCCTACCCAGACTCCAGTTCCCTGGGTAGGTGTAGAGGGAGTGCAGCACTGGGTACTGCATTCAAGCTGAACTCTAAGGAATCATTCCCTTCCAGGTTAGCTGAGAGAGGAAATGAGCACCGAATGGAAATGAGGGCAGAAAACATGCGAAATAAGATCAATTCGGGAAGGGGGCGTGGGTCCGGGAGCTTTCTTCCTTGACTTCCACCTTAAGCCCAGTTGCAGCCTAGGCTGCCAGGTGTGCAAAATCATGGGCCCAGCTCCAGCTTTTTGGCAGCATAATTATAGGTAGGAAGTGGCAAGTGTCCTGCAACAGACTCTTATCTGCCCTAGTGGGACTGCCCGCGGCTTTAGCCTCACTGGGCGCTAGAGGGGGTGTCTGCCCCGTACCCGGAGGCAGAACATTTCCCCGGCACAGGCTTTAGGGGTGTGGGGCTGGCGAGAGGAAATGGGGGCGAGTCCATCATCCGAGTCCTCGGTGCCCAGCCCTGCCTGGCCGAGGGAAGCTTTAGCCAGAGCCTGGGGCGCGGCTCCCCCAGTGGCCAGGGAGGGCTTGGAGGGTGCGCCAGGCCAAGGCTTCGGCGGGCGGGGAGCTTGGCTGGCAGCTACGCCCCAATCCCCGGGAGGTCTGGGAAAGGCCGGACTGACCAGGAGACAAACAGGGTGGCGGGAAGTCGCCTCCATGCCTACGCGGCTCTGCCTGCCTTTCCTCCCGTCCCCACAGTAGACTCCCCCGCCCGGGACGCCCCGCGCCACTCCGCGACTTTGGCCCTGGCTCAAGGTCTTGTGATGTGATTAGCAAAGCCAGCGCCTTGTCCTCAGACACTCGGCCCTGCCCGGGCGTTCAGGCCCTGTTTACTGCAGCCTGGGCGGGGAGCGGGGCGGAGAAACCGGCCCAGGCTCCTCCCGGCAAGACTG